AAAAAAATGTGAGAGAATGAAAAGATGAAAATAAAGTGTTTGTAGATGGGGAGGAGAGGAGGGGGTGAAGGGAGGGCAGAGGTAAGGGGAAAAAAATGAGAATCAAGACTTGCCATGTAAAGGTACATGATCCCAACAATGAATGTAACTGTACTGTATCCCTAAATGTACCAATAAACTCAATTAAAAAAAAAAAAAAAAAAACTTTTTCATGGTTCTCACCTTTGTGGGACTATCCTACACTATAAATACGGACAGGTTATCTCTCTGGGATCAATTAATTAAATAACTTGCTGCCTGTTTGACGTGACTCACTCATTTAGTCGTTAATTTAGCAAGTTATTAGAGAACAATTATGAGTTCAGAGCTATTCTAATGGGAACCTTTTCTTCTGACTGACAGCAATTTAAAGGTTTGAAAGATATTTCTCAGAATGTATTTTGGTTAAAAGGTGTTCAATATCAGATATTGTTGAGTGAGAAAATAAGCACATTTATGGTTCCTTTTAGCATGATAAAAATTTATGTCATTCTTGAAATAAGTCAGTGATTTATTTAATTAGCAATCATTTTAAAGAGACATGGGTAGGACTTAAGACTTTTAATAGTATCTATAGATTTAATTGTTTCTTAATATGATCATGCAAAGTAAACTGCTGGGTGGAAACTACAGAAAGTTATTCCAAGGTCACAAAAATGATACTATAAGCCACAATTGACATTTGTTCCTTTTCTTTGAAAAATCTACCAAGTCTGAATTGTAGAGTATACAAAGTACATGGCTATAAAATCTTTCTAAAAATGTCAACAGAAAAATAAATAAAAATGTCAGCAGAGTAAAAGATAAATAGAAAAACAGGTATAAAATTGATGCCATGAGAATGTGATAATTATACATTTGTGTATATGTAAATATATGCATATTTCAATTTTAAAATAAATGTTTCAATACCTTGTGACTGGTGTTATAGCAAGAAAATAATGTAAAGATCCCTGGAATGTTCTAGTTGGAGATGCCCACAGGTTTTGGGAACCACAACCCAAACTTATCTAATATTACAACCACTGGTATTTGGCTTTCTGCTTTTCAATTTAAGGTTTTTTGTACTAAAACAATGAATGTTATAAATATGTCAGTTCTTCTAAGCATTATAAAGAATCAGAAATATTTTAAATTTATTTATTGTATAACAAGTTGTAGTAAAAAACTCACCAATATTCTAACTTGGATAATAGTCTTCTCAGAAGAAATTCAAAATTAAAAATATATTAAAATAGAGTATAGATTTAAACTCCAAATAATCAAACCTGTGACTGATAACTAATTGTGTGCATTCAATGCCATGTGCCTTTTAAACTCCAAGATGAGGAAATAAGCTCAAATTAAGATTGCCTAAAATCAGGAGCACAGAGCAGCAACTGTCACACTGTGAAGTCCTGGTAGTTTGTAATTGTGACACTGGCTCAGATTCTGTCAACAAGAATAAGATAATGTGCTGAACTGCTCTCAAGACTGAGATAAGTGGAATTCAGGTTAAAGGGATGAAGACAAACAATGCAGCCAAAGACATCTGTTCTGGTCACAGTAAAAGAAAACGGGCAAAATATACAAGGTATTTATAAACAGAAAGAAAAGAAAATCAAAGACGTAAGTCTTCAATTCAAATAAACACCACGAAATACAGCTGACGAATCCGTACCTAAAACTGCTGAAGGATTAGCCTAGAAGAATTCTAGCCACATAGCTCATCTTTTATAATTTCTACTGTCCCAATTTTTTCAGTATTGTCACTTACCAATAATTGTCTGGTTCAATTAACAGCATTAAGAACTCCCTGAGTTTGCTTTCATAAAAGGTCAGAGGGTATAAAACTACTTCAAATGCTGAGCATCCAATAATTTACAATATTCTACATTTGTCCTGAGGATTAAATGTGTGATATATGTGTCTTTTATGTAGTTGTAAATATGCTGAAAGCTAAAATCATTTTTAAAGCACACAGCAAAGTTAATAAATAAAATATTGGCACTTATTAACCAAGCTCCTACGAAAGTGACAAATTAATAGTCAGTTATGTTCCTACAACAGCCTTACTTTGCTGCTTTCTCAGTAACTAATCCATGCAGGACTTCTCAGCTCCAGGTACTGCCTAACCCAAGAAAAAGAAAAAGGCAATTTGTTGCCACTTCTACACCTTCAATTATGTTGTCATTTTCCCCTCCATCTATAGTTTCCAAGCTCATTAATTCACAACGGTTAAAACTCTGCACAACCACCTCAAAATACGACTTAAAATGTTAAATTTCTTTTTCAGGTAGAATCAGCCAAACACACTCATACATCTGATCACCCTTGAAGCACTTAGAGCATCAAGTACTTTCCTATTAAAAATACTTTTCTAAGATCCCATTTCACAAAGCTGCCTTGCTATTTCAACAAACACACTGTGTAGCTTTATGAGGAAATTTACATCCCTAAGTTTGGAAAATTTTATTTATCATTATGAGAAGAAGTAATTAGGGCCTGACATTTTCATTTCATGTTACTTTATCTCCAGTCCTGGGGATTGAACCATAGGCCATCACACTGACCTGTATTCCCAGCCCCACTCCCCTTTCTTTGTATTAGGTCTGAGACTCAGTATGTCACTGAGTTGCCCAGGTTGGGTTTAAAGTTGTGATCCTCCTGCCTCTGATTCCCAGAGTGCTGGGATAAAAGGCATGTGGCACTACACCCGGAAATAATTTTTATGCTTGATAGCAGCAACAATAACAACGACACAAAGTAAACATTTAAGAAGCATTTGTGCATCAGGTATTTTTTTAAACTCTCTAAGTAAGTGCCATTATTACCAACATTTTAAAGATAAGGAAACTGAGGCATGACAGTTATAGGCAGCCTGACCTAGACTGCAAGCTTTTATTCACTATTCCACAACGGTGTTGAGGCTTTTATAAATATTACATGCATCAAATAAAAACACTTATATTCTAGCAAAATGCTACAAACATTAAACTATATCTTTTGAATTTTTAAAATCTTTCTGGCCGTGGGAACACTCTGATAATTTTGTTTTTGTTTTTGTTTTTTTGGTACCAGGGATCGAACTCTCGGGTCCTTGTGCTTACAAGGCAGGCGGCGGAACCGCTGAACTAAATCCCCGGCCCCACACTCTGATAATTTAAATGGAATATATAAGGAAACCAACTAATGGTTCCTACCTCAAGTCTGTCTGTCCGCATTAATTTCTGTGCAGCAGCTGCAGCAGCTGCAGGTACAGGGACCCCTGGATTCCCAGTAACCAACATTGGTGCAGTTGGCAAGATCTCTGCTGGAACCAGGCTTGGAGAAACAGGTCCCAAGTAGGGATTAAAGGCTGCTGATGCATTGGTGGCTAAGCTTGGTGCAACTGAAAACATTGGCTGAAAAATAAAATAGAAAGCAACATTTAATACACAGATGTCAGTAAAAAGTTGATAGTTTCTTTTACACATGTATCACCCATCTATTCATCCAATTATCTATCTGCAATGCATTCTTTCTTCCTCTCTCCTTTAATCTGTTTTTTTTTTAATCCATTCTCTGATCCATTTAGGATCAGGATGCTTTATTACATCAGCATCAAATCAATGGTTTTTTTTTTAAATATAAGAGAAATATTTATAAAATTCTCTACAAGGATTTTAAAGTTCAATCTATAAACATGGCATTTTCTTTTAAATAACAGATCAACTATGACATAAAGAAACTTCTTGTGGTCACCTAACCTCCATATTTTCATAGCTTAATCCTAGAAACTTGTGTAAGAAATATTTCATAATTGCTATGGCAGATATGTTTGAAAGGTCTATTTACAACTGTTAATAGGTTGCAAGTGTCCTATTATTTGAAACAAATATAGGAAAACATCGAGGGTTAACAGTTCACAGTCAGTATATACTGTAAATCAGTCTCATGGGTATGTGAAAGATAATGAGGATACCGTTCCTTTTGAGCACATAAGAGAGTGTTTGGCGTACTGATTTGATGCAGGATTTTCTGAAGAAATTTTAAGTGTTCTCCTAGCCTGTAAGATCCTTGTGAGACATTCAACAATAAAGCTACCTCACTAAGAAGAGAAGTCTGCAGTATGAAGTATAAAACAGAACAGTTCTAAAGAAAAATTATAGACTTGTTCAAGCAAATACATATGGCAACATTTAATAAATTGTCACAAGATAGAATTTGTCAGAAAAGCTTCCATGGATATGTCAAGATTGTTTCTATTTGTTTATGTGAAAAACTGCACATCAAGAAATATATTTTCTTGAGTGGAATTTTATCTGAAATCTATTTTAATAGATTTTAATAGATAGCTTTTCTAGTATAAAAACGTAATTCCCCACCTTAATGATGGTAACATTTTTGATAGTTCCAATTTTTTTTACATTAAATTCAAGGCGCACTAAGCTACGTCCACAGCCCTGTTTTATTTTTTTAAGAAAAGGTCTTGCAAAGTGGGTCAGGCTTGGCTTAAACTTGCAATTCTCCTCCTTTAGCCTCCCGAGTTGCTGGGATTACAGGTGTACAACATCACATCCAACCAAAGTAAAATTCTTGAAATTTAATGATTTTAAAAATAATAATGATTGTCTCTGAAACAGCAAAACTCATTTGCAAAATAAATCCTATTCTTGAAGGTAATTTTTAAAAATATATTTTCTTTACCCAGTGGTAAGGAATAAAATCTTCACTGAGTATTTTAGAACAAAAGTTAGATTAGATTAGATTTTATTAGAATATAGCTGATTCTCCTCTCTGATAGGAATAAGAAGTTAGAGAATGCCAGAATATATGGAGCATTCAACAGAGCTTTGGAGAAACAATTTATGCAATCTGAGTTATATATTACAAAAGTAATTCTTATAGCACAAAAGAAATATGTTAAAAAACAAAAATACATTCTTTTTCTAGTCTGGCTCTGACTCATATTTAGAAGGATAAAATAGAGCTCAAGTATTCCATTTTTCCTAGGCTAAGTGGTTCTTAACTAAGAATATATTTGGCAACGTCTGGAGACACTTTTGGTTGCCACAGCTGGGCAGCGCCTCTGAATCTGAGGGGTGGAGGACAGGGAAGCTGCTAGGTGTCCTGAACATGCAGGACGGTCCTTTACAGCAAAGAATGACCCAGCCCCAATTTCCCAAGGTTGGGCATGCCTATCCTGGCAGATTCACTGTTCTCTTGGCCTCACAAATTGTTTTGAGACAAAATCTGTGAGGACTGCATACGCATTTTTACTAAGAAGAAGGTGAACAAGAGAATATTTAATACATTACTTGATTCCCTGGAGAGAAGAAACAATACACCACAGAATGCAGTGACATTTTCAAGGTAATATAATTAGACCTTGAAACACATGGGTCTGAATGCCATGATTAGCTGCTCTGCCAGCGAAATGGCTCTTGTTTGATGAAGTGGCCCAAGTATCCTCCAATCCTGAGCCCCAGCTCCTTCTGAGGCAACTGCCCTCGGACACAGGAAGTGATGTGTGTTCCAAACGTTAATAACCCATACCTTGTTGGAAACTGGGGCCTAAGGCTGTCTGCCCACCGACAGCTCCTGCAGCAGCAGCTGACTTAATGCTCTCCCACTGATCACTGGCTGCACAGGGCCAGCAATACAAAGGTGGACTTGCACAGTAAATATGGGTTTCTATTCAAGAACATTCAGGATAAATCGTACTGTTATATACAGTCAGACACAATATTTTTTTAATCCAGCCAGATCAGCACTGTTAATCTTTACATTGGAAACTTTAGAATTTTGAGAAATTTTAGCAGAGAGAACTAAAAGATTAGGTTTTAAAGGATGGAAAATGGTTAATATTCCTCTTTGCATTCCACTGCTATGAGTTAATGTGTATTTATACATAGCACATTTTAAATGTTTACATTATAAAGTTATTCACATGTCTCTATCACTGTATACAGTCTATTATAAATACTTAAAAGCAAATGCCAAATTTATAAAAACTTATTTCGCAGGAAGAAAAGAATTGTTAATTTAGCAAAGTAAGACCAATGGACCAATAAAATTTAACTCTGTTAAGCCTCATAAAAATACACTGGAAATTTGCAAATTCATGTCATACAGCTGTTACACGATGCGGATAAAAATACATTTATTATACACAGATATTCATCCTATTAACGTGCAACAATCTTCTCTGTGAATTGTTTCCACAGAGTCATCACATAAATTGATTTTCTGACTTAATTCAGCAGACCAAATTCAAATCTGAAACATTTAGGGTACTGTCCCTAAGTAAAGTCTGCAGCAGCTCTTAAAAATCGAAAACATGAACTATTCAGACACTTTCATCTCGAATTCCTCCCTCTCTGGTTAAGTAAAATATGCAGAAAATTGGTTAACAATAACTCTGCACTTTAAAACTTCATTCCAAAAGCGGGTGAGAAGAGGGGAGAGAAGGGGAGAAAAGGAAAGGAGAGGGAAAGAAAGAAAAAATTACAGTATTCCCTCAATTCTTTTTAAGGAAGGCTGGTTATGACTGCCTTTTGCCAGTGAACCTTCAACAAAGAAAAACAAATTGCAAATTCACTAATTCTTATAGTGTTTATTGGTTAATCATTCGTTTTAAATGAGATGTTCTTTTTCTATTACGATAAGACTTCATATAAATGAAAATATTATTCAATTTCACATTATGACTCTAGTTAATACAGGCATGATTATTTCTAGTAATTCCCTATTTGTTATGTGCCAACATTGTACTAAGTGCTTTACCTGTGTTATTGTATTTAATTCTTATAATATGAGCATATGAGCATTTTTTCCCCTTTTTTGAGGGTTGGGTGGATGAAGATAGAACAGGGATCATTTAGTTTCCTTCTAAACTCCCAGAACATAGACAAATGCTTGGCACATGCTAGACATTCTGTTCATTTTTTCTGTTTTTTGGGTAACAAAGTCCATGTAGTTCAGGCTACACTCAAACTCACAACAATCCTCCTGCCTCAGCCTCCTGAGTGGGGTTACAGGTGTGTACCACCACACCAAGCTAATTTCAATCCACGTTTGAGTGAATGAATGTGTAAGTGGATTACTGTCTTGTCGGCTATGTATTATTATACCCATTTTGCAGATAAAAAGCTCACAGAAATTATGTGCCCATCAATGCAAATGAGTAAATGGAGAGCCTAGGATTTGGATCTGATTCCAAACAGCTCTGAAATTAATGGTTCTCACTTAATAGTCGAGATGCCCATTAAATTCATCTGTGAGACTTTTATTAAACTGTGAATGTTCTTGCGACTGCTAATCATCAGAATCCCTTAAGAAAGGTAGCAAAGTAGCAGAATGTTTTTAAAAGCCTCTGGGTAATTCCAATTCCCTGGTCTTCTGAAGAAATAGGTTCACTTTTCTGGTTCTATGTAAGTTCTCTAAGGAGGCATGTCCCCCGAGGGTTTCCTTCTTCTGAACACGGTTTTCCTTTTACAGTGAACACCACCCATGCCCAGCCCACTTGTTTAATTTCTACTTGTGCTTAAGAACCAGGACTCTTCCTATTAAAGTTTCCCCAGTCAGGTCATATCACCAGTTATGAAGGGGATTTTCCTACCCTTCTGTTCCTACAGAAGTCTTTATCACTGGAATTCAGCATTTATCCATAAACTGCCGTGTTTAATGACTTTCTCTTCTGCTCTAATTAGACTACAGACTCCAGAGTCTTTTGCCTTGTGCTTTGTTCATGGGAGAGACGTCAGAGATAGAGACAGAGATAGAGACAGACAGACAAAGAGACAGAGTCAGACAAAGAGAGAGACAGACAGAGGGGGAGAGGAGGGACAAGGCAGAGGGGAAGGAAAGGGGAAGAGGGAAAGAGACAGATAGTGATGAGATGCATGGATGGATGGATGTCTATTTGCAGGATAATGTATATTTAATTGGCTTCTATACACAGCCTCTATAATTACTGCTTATTACATATATTAAAGAATTTGCTAAATGCTTTTCTTTGACACAGAAACTAGCAAATGCATTAAGCATTTTCTAGAGTAGATTTAAATGTCAAGAAGAGGATTTAATTTCCTTTTCATCTCAGAATTTAATATTTTCTCTACCATGACTATATATTTTCTTGTTTTACAATTTTTACATTACTCTAAGTTTCAGCAATGCAGTTATTATGCTACGATGCTGAAAATGCTAAGGGTTATTTATTCTAAAACACTACATGAAATGGTATGTTTTGCAAACAATGTTTGCAATTTTTAATAAAATGGAAGGATAGTATAAAACACACAATATGTAATCAGCATCACTTGAGATCTGCTGAACACAAACTTAAAAAGCCAGATATTTCTAGGTTCTAGGTATTTGTGTGTGTTTGTATGAAGGCCAAATTTGGAAACAGTAAAAATAAAGCTTTAAAAAATTTAGAGCATACGTATGCACATATAAAATTGTGTCTGGGTAAGCATAGTCCTGTGCCTTGGGCTATGACTAGTGTTAGTAAACAATTACATTGAACATAAACAGCACAAAAAGTTAATGATGGAAATTATCAACAAATTCACAACACACATTTTTTTTCTTCTAAGAACTTAGCATGTAACAGGTTAAAATAAATGCTGTTATAAGCTTTTAACTGAGCTTGTTAATGAAAAAAATCAAGGGAATGCTTGCTTTGTTCTTAGTTTTACTTTGTCCTTCAATCTTTATTGAAATTATAAACACTTGAATAAAATGAAGTGGGTGAAGGGAGGGCAGGGATACAGGGAAAAAACAAGCAGCAAGATATTTCATATGAAGGTACAAGATCCCAGTGATAAATGTAACTATTGTTTGCTTTAAATGTACAAATAAACTTAATGGTTAAAAAAAAAAAAAAAAAGAAGGCTCATTTGGCCCAGTCCCTACAATTCTGTACCTGTTCTTAAGCAACTTCTGGACCGACAGGTTCCTTGATTGAAACAGGCAGTAAAAAGAGCACAACTGATGAACACCTCAGGGTGACTGATACGTAAACATTTTACCAGAAACACGACTGGTATTACTCATGAGGTGGATAAACTGGAAAGTAAAGCAATAAACAAAAAAAACCCAAAAACACTGAAGAATTCTAGGTGTTCCTGGAAGTGAGACAAACGATGACTTCAAAGCATTCTACAGCCTACTGCCAACAAATGCCTGGAACACGACAGAACAACTAAGTCAAGGTCACAGGAACAGCTAAAGAACTCACAATTCCACATGGTATTTTAGCTGAATCCGGTGACTCTAACTTCTCTATCCTGTGCATTTCAATCTCATGAGTCTTTGTCTCTAAATCTGAGATAATATTACCTACTTCACAGAACAGTTGTGAGAATTTAATATCTAAAATGTTCTGAATATAATAAATGCCCCAGAGTATGGTATTTGTTTTAAAAATTAATCCTTTGTTTTTTCACTTGGGGCATAACTACAAGTTCTGCATTAACTACCTTTGTCCAGTGTCATGAAAATCTTAGATTTACAGACCCAGTTTATGAGACAATTTATGAGAGAATGAAAGTCCAAACAGGTGGCATAATAACCATTTCTTGGCGTCAACAGAACCCTCGTCAAGCCACCGACTGCCTTTACAAATGTGGTGGTATCTTAGTTCACGAACTTAATTCATTCCACCATTCTGGGGAAAATGGCCACGTTTGTGTTCCTGCAAAAAAGATGGCCATTTTTGCATTCATTACCCAATGCAGAGTTCATAAACAAAAACAAAATTCTGCCAAACTCTTCTGTTTGTGAACCGAACTGATTGCAAACAAAAGTATTCATGAACTAAGGCACCACTTATATGTTTGTATCCACCACTTGCTCCTTTCCACACAGTCTCTGTAAGTGGGGGTTTCTGCTCTGGTTCAAGTCATGATTCTTTTAGGTCTCTAGGGCAAGGAACCTCTGCCTCTTTATTTGGTGTTTGGGAAACTACCTTTCATCTGTTCTTTCATCCGTCATGTAGTTATTGACTTCTGATTGCGTCAGGCGCAATACTAGCTGCTTGTAAATTTGCTGAGATTTGCCACCCTATTCCAGTGCCCTTTCTGTTCCTTCAGCTAAATTCGGGGTACAAATTGGTTGGTCCTAGAAAATAAAGATGCTTTCACCTGCTTGACCCCAGGTCTTGTCACGACTTGTATACTTCAGATACTCCTGATCCTATGGATCGGCCCACTGTGTTACTTCCTTTGATGTTGCCACTACCTGGGTTGGATCCAAGTTAATCACTTCTGCTGATCTCAGAGGTACTGTAGGTGACACAAAGGGCACAGCCCAAAGGACTTCAAACGCTCACATCTGTACTAGAGGTCACTCTCACTGAGTGATAGGTCTGTTCAAAAATCAATAACCTGGCTGCTCTGAGCTCTGGTATAGTTTCTATCTGTAAGTTCACATTAACGTCCCAGTAAGCAGCTGGCGATAACTACCCCATTTATTTCTGAATCTCCATGTTATTATACTCATCAAAATACGGCTGGGTATGAAAAGAATCAAAAAGCCGCAAGTAAGATTTTGAAGGCAAATTTTCTGGAAGTCTTCTCTATTGTTATTAAAATTCTACATGCTTTAAATTTGAATAATTAAAATTATTTCTATAATTATAAAAATCACTGAATAGATTGTATTTTTAGTTTATGATAGAAGGATACCTTTAGCAGAAAGGTAATTCCACATTCAAATATAGTCATGTGATATAAAATTAACATAAAAGCTGAATATGCTCATAATGAATAAAAAAGAATTGCTTTATGCAGATAATTTTCTAACAAAGGCATCAGATAATGTGGTGAATGCTCTGATGGTTTCAGAAACCTGTAATTTAGTGATTTTACAATCAGAATATTTGTTACTAGTTTTTAAAGATGAAGAGTATAAATATCCATTCTAGTAGTCCCAGGGTTATGCACATGATGACCCTAAAACAGCCTGGAGAGTCCCTGGATGAAGTCAGAGTGCTGGCCAAGGGGGTCACAGTGAGGAACTCAAGGCTGTGAATGATGCTGTCCTCTCCAACCTGGGAACCATATCTGGCAGTCTCTGAGTCACATGAGAGCACAGGATGGCAGTCAGTACGTTTTAAATGTTTAATTGGAACAAAGTACCCTACATCAAGGAGATATCTTATGTCAATTAAAGCGGTAGCCACCCCAGATCTTTGAAACTGTATGTGAGGCTCAAGTGTCAAAGAGACTTCCGTCCTATATTTTATTGTTAGAATGATTATAATTAAAATTTAAAAATCAAATACAGACGTAAAATTATATATGTCCTAAAAAATTAAGATAGTCACATTTTTGACTGAAGCCTCAATAATTAAAAAAAATACATCAGGTTGAAATAGACACAGAATTAATATTCTCTCACTTCAACCTTAAAGTATTGACGATCACTATCACTTTGATTTAATATGAGTGCTACATTAAATTCTAAGACAGAATTATAATTAAATGCAGTTCAAGTGTTAAAATGTTATCAGGAAGGGCCAGGGATTTAGCTCAGTGGTGCCGCACCTGCCCTGCCAGTAGAAGGTCCTGAGTTCGCTCTCTAGTTACTGGGAAAAACAAAAAGTATTAGGTAAAAATTAGCACATACACTGTTATGGCTTGTATCTAGATGTGCCCCAAAGTCTCACGCACTCACGGATCAGGCTTTTAGGAGCTGGCTGGATGTGGGCTGTGTGATACTGGGATTAAAAGTGTGTTGTACTGACTGTCTTGGCATAGTTTGGGTGTGATAATGGGAAGCCCCACCCAGGGTGCCAACAGTCCTGCACCTGGATGTAATACAAAGGGAAAGAAGACAGACTTGCTGCTTGCTGCCTCTTGCCTACTCTGCCAGGGACTGTTACTTCTCTGCAATTACCTTCTGCCATTCTGCCCTATCTTGGAGCCAGCTGACTATGGACTGAAACCTCTATAAATTGTGAGCTGAAATAAACTTTTCTTCCTTTAACTTGTAGGTGTTGGCTGTTTTATCCCAACAATGACAAAGTAACTAGGATGGACACTATAGTTACCATACCAGAAAAATGTGGGTCTTTAAATTCCTGTGACTCCATAATGTCACATATGTTAATGACATAAATTATTGACAAATACATTCTGATCATTAAAATTTTTATCACAAGCCAGGCGTGGTGGCGCACGCCTGTAATCCCAGCACTCCGGAGGCTGAGGCAGGGATCACTGTTTTAAATTCCTGTGACTCCATAATGTCACATATGTTAATGACATAAATTATTGACAAATACATTCTGATCATTAAAATTTTTATCACAAGCCAGGCGTGGTGGCGCACGCCTGTAATCCCAGCACTCCGGAGGCTGAGGCAGGAGGATCACTGTGAGTTCAGGATCAGCCTGGGCTATACAGTGAGTTCCAGGGCAGTCTTAACTACACAGTGAAACCCTGTCTCAAAAAACCAAAACGGAACAAAAAAACAAAATAATTTTCATCACATATTTAAACTTAAATACAGAGCACTATGTCACAATAATACCTCTTCAAGCTAATAGTATCTGTGTAATGACAATTATTAATTTATCATATACACACACAAAAGCAAATCGTTAAATTGGCATGTATATTCTCAAGCAAGAGTTAACCCAAACAATTCCTGGCAAACATTAAATATCTACAACTACCTATGAATTGTCAAATTTGTTCTTTTTTTAAAGCCCTTGTAGTTTCTGTCTCTCTGATTAGTTCTCCTTTGATGAGACTTCCCAATTCATTATAATTCAGAAGTTACTTGGCATTTGTGACAATGTAATACTTTCAATTTAAACTGTAACATAATAAAAAAGGTTTTGTCTTTTTTAAAAAAAGAGAACTACAGAGATTCTCTTCAAGGTGAGAGGTTACATTATATATCAGTTTTAAAATATTACCTTTAAAGTTAGATGGACTACATTCATGAGTTTGTTGGCCATTTTAACATATACCACACTGGCACCTACAAGTCATAGGATTTACTCTGAAGATAATTTGGTGGTGGAGACAGGAATGCTATAATGTAAACTGTCACACGGATTAACTAGAAAATGAGTGAGTTCACAGTGTAAAAGTTGTTCCAGACTGACCCTTAACTGTAGAAAACACTATGTAATGGATAATGTCACTTATGTCCCCTCAATCTAGTGGAATCATTCGTATTAAGCCCTGAATCGCAAACTAATACCGGGGGATTGGAAGCATGCTTACCACGGGTTGTAATGGGGCACCAGGCATCATGGCATTGGCTAGTTGCATTTGCTGGGCCAACATGGCCATGTTCTTCTGCTGAATCAAGTTATTGCGCCCATTTATCTCCAACTGTGTTTTTAAGTGTGGGGGTGGATGAAGATATTTGCAGTTCTCCCTAGAGCAACGACCCTAAAAAGACAAAAAACAGCAAATGCTATCTTAAAAAAGAATAAAATCAGCACAATGGCAAACAACAGTAATGCAGATCAGCCATTTGAGTCTATTATGCATTTTCAGACGCTGTTCTTGTCATTTCATGATACATTTACAAAAAGTTATCAATTTACCCAAATGTATTATAAAAACTTAGAGTAAGATATCTAAAGGAGTTTAGAAGCTTACAGAGGTTCCTTTATTTTAATAGTTTTAGTATCAGTTTTTCTAGATTAAAGTTTAAAAATCTACAAATTTCTAGGGTAAAACCATTAAAGACTATTAGGGTCCACACTAAGCATGGAGCCCATGCCTATAATTCTAGCACTCTGAGAGGCTGAGATCAGAAGTTTAAGACCAGCCTGGGAAACTAAATAAATGGTTAGAGATCCTGGGTGGCAGGGGGGAGGGGGTCAGGGATTTAGCTCAGTGGTGCCACTGTGGGCCTCACAAATGGAAGATCCCAAGGTCAAACCCCAGTACCCCCCCAAAAAAAACTGGATGCAATTCAGTGTGAAGACCCTCGGTTCAATCCCGAGTAACTAACACAGAAACACACATACAATTCAGTTTGACTCTTGATATATCTTCTTGGTTAACTTCAATGAATCCAAAAGAATCATGAAGTTTATTAACTATTTTTATTTGTAGTGAATTTTTAAGAAATGAGCTTAGAGAACCCAAAGCACACTGCATCTTAGGTTAAATGTTTTACAAGTACTGCATAATAAATAAAATTCCTATTAAGCTCTGTAAGTCTACTCATTAGCAAACATTCATGTATTCCCACTGTATATGGAGATCCAAGTGCTCTAATGAAACAGTGGTGAAAAATGCAGCCTGTAACCTTTCAAAGATAAACCCAGTCTTTATCATCCAAATGTATAAAAATAAGAAATGGACATAGTTAACTCCAAATAAATGGCAGTGTAAAACATAGAAGCAAAAATAAATTATAATAGAATTATAAACGTGAACATTCCTTTCTTCAGGAATGATTCTTTTCATCAAATATATTTATGAAAGTCTGTAACACACAATTTTATGTCTCTACTTTTACCATCTCAATATTTTGTCAAATCTTATTGAGAGTAAAAGATCTCTCAATAATTTCTTTCACAAATAAATCTAATTAGAACTGTAAGAATAAAAGGTTAATTTAAGCTATCAACCACCTTCTTGAGTTTTCTATGGAAAAATCAAATTAATCTGACTTCATTAATTATGTTACAATTCTAATTTGAATGCTGTTTTGGTTCATCTAGATTAAGTTCTTTAAGCATCAGTCTCTATGTTGAGCTGACATGGGATACAGCTTGTCATTTTAGCAAGTTCTATGTAATAGCTGAAATCAGGAGGCAGCAAGGGAAAAGTGGTCAAGAGCAAAGATTTAATAGGTCTTAAGACATCTCACAGAGGCCTTGTTTTCTTGATTCGACAGCTGCATGAACTACGGACATTAAATTCTTTCAACCTCATGGCTACTTTTTCATGCTGCAGAATTTCTGTAAAACCTGTAATACTTACACCATAATTTAAATTACATAGGAAAAAACATCGGTACAAGGTAGTTTTTATGTCTATCAGTTATGGCTTATGATATATTCACAAATAGACATTTACATATATATAACTTATTCCATATAAAATCACATTGCTTGATATATGTTGAGTTCATGGTCAAAACAACCCCATGCATCTCAGTGCAAAACACCACAAAAACAACATAGAATCACAAGATAAACCACAGTATGAGTGACTAAAATAAACAAGATCATGAATGACACATGGTCTGATTTCAGGGACATGACGTTGAGTCCTCCTACAGAAAGCCTACTATTTTAGTATGAAGAAAAGTTTAACTGCAAGAGAAATTCTGGTTCTTAATATCTACACATCACACTTACTAAACTGGCTATAATAAACTGCAGATAAACAGGGTTATATCCACCCAGATGATTCGATTACAATCAATTCACTCAGGTCAATTTCTAGAGAACTGCATAATACAGAGGTAGCCCTTGGCCTCAAGGCAGGCCTTAGCAAGACGCACAGTGTGATTCCCACATACTGCCTGCTAGTTCCTTCCTTGAATATACACCACTGAGCTCCTCCTACAGACAAATATTCCCTACTGGAATAATGCAGTCAGATGTGTCTGCTATACATTCTGTATCAGTACATCTGAAACTTAATAGGGGTTGCAACCTTTGGTTTACATTCTGTATTTTCTAAATCTACTCTGGGGCTGGGGATTTAGCTCAGAGGTTTGGTGGCCTGCCTTGTAGGCACAAGGACCCAAGTTCAATCCCCGGTACTAAAAAATAAATAAATAAAATAAATCTACTCAGAACTACCAAGCCCCTCCCGTAGAATCTGTGCCCATGGGTCTGGGAATCCAGGGATGTGCATTTTAACAAGTACTCTAGGAAATTCTGGCATACCAGAAAATACTACAAAATACAGTTGTAGAAGCCACGTGAATTTACATTGACACACAGGAATAACCTGTTCAGGTTATATTCGATAAAGTGTGCTTCTTAGGAAATTCAAAACTTGTTTGCAAATGCTGACTATGTTGCTGAATAATTGTGGTTTCACAAATTAAAAAGTGAAGAAGAAGTTAGAGTAAACATTTTATATTAGAGGATTGCCTAAAGTCCTAGAGGAAACCACAAGCATACTTTCCTTTGAGAAATACACACTATATCGGTACTTCACAGCTTAGGCCATCTCTAAATTCCCAGTACCACACCTCAGTAAACACTTTCAAAATGAATTAATGTTTAGTTCTTGCTAAATACTGGAAGAGGTATTCTATCCCAACTCTAGAGACAATGAAAAAAATAGAATAAAAACTAAATTTAATACCAAATCTTGGTTCTGAGTTATAATGATCTAATGATGCTTTTCTTCAGAAGCCAGTAAGTCTGCCACAAAAATAAACAAAATAAAAGGAAGCAGTAATAAAAGGAGGTTTGTAAGTGTGACCAGGGAGGAAAAGAGACCTGTGAACATATTTGTCATTAGAAAATCTGTACAATGACAATCTATTCTAAAAGTCTAAAAACAAATTTGTTTCACATATATACACTGTCATCTAGGGCTACTTCTCCAAATCATCTAGATAGTTCACCGAATAGGTGCCTTCAATGCCCTCATTGTACAAAGCTTGGTTCGAGTATCGAGTTTGTACTTAGATTCTATATGGAAATTTATGAAATTCTCTGTGTGGTCCTATCTTTTTGCTTTCTTTTTCCCCCTGTTGTCAGGGATTGAGTTTAGGTCCTTCACACTGAGCTATGTCCCCAGTCCTTTTAATTTTATATTTGCTTGCACAGGAATATGGGCCAACCTCACATATGACACAAAGTAAATAGTAAGATATAATTTGTAGAATATGGCAGAAGTTAGGTAGTTAACAATAAGCCTGAGAAAGATAAAACTGAACGAATCTAGAAAACAGCAATTTAGTGGTTTTAGAAAATTATTTACTAGTTAAGTTTTTTAATTTAAGAACTAGCTAATGAATAAAAATAAAACAATTTCTTATTTAGAAATTGGTTGAATTTGATAGAACAAAAAAAGTGAAAGTTCTAATTGAAAACCAGGAAAACTATTTTTCCATTTTTAATTATATTTCTTCGACCTAAAATAAAGGGAATATTGTGATTTATGAAGTCAGAATCTAAAGAGATATGTTATTATGTTGCCAGATGGTAGCTATGGGGTAAGATTAAAATTATTCAGTTATATTTAGGGTAGACTCTGGAAATAAAGGGGCAATCAAAGAATTATAGTGGAACCAGGTTATATTCATGTCTTTTCCAACTTTCAACCAATTGGTTTTTCATTAAGGCTACTGAAAAATAGAACCCTTTATTTCAATTGTTAAAACAAAACCAGTATTTCCTTTGGGACAGCTAAGATATGCAAATGTTTTTGAAGCCCTTTCTAGAAATATTCATTGCTCAGATATTGGCGAAAAATTCTGGATAGGGAATTTGGTAGTTTCCTATTGAAAATTCATACCAATATTTTCTCTGCTATGATGCTAAAAATTCTGCCCAAAAATCCGAGTAATTTTTGTCATTTAACACTTTCAAAAATGGTTTCATAGGGTTGTTTTATTTATTAATTCTAATAGTGTTACTCATTATTTTATAACATTAACATATTAGCATATAATATTATTTTTGAATATATAATACTTAATCCCCAGCGCAAGGTGAGCTATCTTTAAGATGTATTGTTTCATGTACACAAATATTCAGATACATATAAACACACTCATTTTGTTTCCTTTTAGCTATAAGTTCAATTCATTCTAGGTATCTCAGTTTCCTGGCCTTTGAAAGTATCTTAAAGCATCTAATAGAGTTTATTGTGGCTCTTAAATATGTATTTCCTTGTAACTTAGTTATTTCCATAAGCGACTGTGTCATCTTAAAAGAGCACATGCATTCTAAAGAGATACTCTGCGTTTCTCAACCTTAGCCCTATACTGACATTTTGGGCTCGATAAAATATTACAATGAGAACTGTACTAGGATATGTTTAGGATATGTTACAGCATCCCTGGCTTTTAAACCCTAGATGCCCATAGCACCTTCAAGCCCACTCAGTTGAGGGTAGGAAGCGGAGTGAGAGGTTAGAATCTTTTTAAACTGAAAGCCGTGATTACTTTATACCTAATGGAATTTAATGGGGACGCTAATGATTAGCTAGGGCTATCATAATATAACACCAAAGACTGGGTGACCTAACAGTAAAAATACATTTTCTCACAATTTTAGAATCTAAAAGTCAAAGATCAAGATCCTGCCCTTTTTAGTTTCAATTAGGATTCTTTTCATGGCCACCTTCCCACTTCAGGGTGTGCCTGAGATAAGAGAGAGAACAAAGCTCTCCGGAGTCCCTCCTGAGAAGTATACTACCCTAATCAGAGCAGGGCTCCACCCTTATGACCTCATTTA